TAACACAATTCATAATCCGAGTAATTTCTTCAATGTAAGTGGCTGTTTGTCCGAACTTGTTAATTTGTTCCTAATGTTTTTTCATTCACGCACTTGACCCACTTCAAAAGGAAATGGCGAACATTTTCTTCTGCATGACCGCAATGGCATTTCAGAGAGTTGGATTGATGTATTTTGTGCAGGAAGCTATTTGTGCATGCTACTTCCACTCGAAGTCTGTGGAATAAACGAACGCACTTTCGGTCAAGCCTTTTATGTCAGGAGTCAGTGGTAACGCTTGTTCGCGTCGCAAAGGAGTATGTGCCACAGACATATCGAACTAAATCCTACTTGTCACCACTGGTCACATAAAAATCAAGGCAACAGTGATCCCAATATATTGGTGTGTGTCGCATAAATCTGTGAGGCCTCTCATGAAATGAACATCAAAACCACGTGTGTAACAAAAATTTGGTGAATTTCACTACACCCAACATGCACTATGTAAGAAGGAGGTAGCACTTAGCCCAAAAGATGGTGTGCGCGCAACCCGCACTGTGACGTCTTACTTCATGGTTACAGAAGGCTTTGGCTGTGCTATCACCTCAAAGAAAACAAACATTGTTTTAAAAACATCCAGAATTAAAAATATCGGAGCTTCTTTAGAGAAGGCTTAATTGCAAACCTTTGTACATGGGTTGTATAGACCTATACCACCGGCGCAAGGCCTAACCAGCAAGGTTTGTCGGAAGTACTGAATATGAAACATACGATAAGGAATATTATATGTCTAAAGGACTTCCTAATGAAAAACGTTTGTCATCTTCACGAAGGGAACACCACCAGCTAAGCTGTGCACTTGCGTCCACGAAGCAAAGCTAGTTGAATTTTTCGTTCTTTATATGAAAGGATACAAGGAAGGAGCTTTATAATATGAAAAGATACCCAGTAGATCCTACTCGGCTCTCCATGAACTGTTTGCTTCCCAGTTTATTCATTAGACAGCTGGTCACTAGAGGCGCAGGAATGCACAGCTTGTGTATCTTATTAAGTTTATTTTTTTGTGAAGCTTGCTTTTGTTCGAACTTAACCGTTGTAAACGGCAGGAGGACAAAGTTTGGCTGGTTTTAAGCCCCCACCTTCGTTGCCTCGATGTAGACTTCTTCATACGCCTTTGATTAAAACGATGTATGAGTTGACATGGCGACTGCCATGAAGGTTGTAAGGAAAGGCTCGACACTCAAGGAAACTACCTACTCTATTGCCCATATCTGGCAGCGCCCAGCATCCCTCCCCAAACTGCAGAAAAAGGTCTACGGAAAAAATATTCTTGCTTATGTGGTCACGAGCAATGCGTTCTTCAGATATTGAGGAGCCAGCCATAATGGATTTCTAGGAAGAGCGTAAAAATCTTAGGCTCAAGGTGCCCGAAATTCACTGTGTTGCAAAAAAAATAGGCCTAATAGTCACAGAGTAAACAAGCAAATTGGGCGAGTTCGAACATACTGATTACGATCAACACGCAAAAAGAACAACAAAACAAAGAAGTGCTCGACACAAGCGCTATGTAACAACTCAAAGTTTAATGAAAGAAGGTGCCCAGTAATTATAACACAAACGTTGGCAAGCGCGAGAGTGGACAAGGGAGTGCAGAAGAGGCGGGCCACTGTCAGTTCTGAAGGTTGCTCTATAAGGCACTCTAAGCGTTTCACTGACTGTGCGAGCGCGGTGGTGTACTCCACCCCTTTGCCATGCAGGTGCATGTACAGGACGTTGCCTGAATGTCCGTCCAAGGGAGAACTTTAGCGCGTTGCAAGGTACACTTTCCACGCATCTTGCCTCGCATTGCTGACAGTGCGGCTACGCAGCTGAGTTTAATGAAACCACTATATACTGAAGCGTATGAAATAATGAAAGTAGGAGACAGGTGCACGAGCCACAAGTCAATCACTCTAACAGATTCTCAGATTGGGTATCTACAGTATACTTGATTGTGTGCTTGATGGGGAGTATCAAGGCTTTCTTTTATGCCTTTCTGTTTGTATGTATAGGACACGCTTCTTTCATTAAACTTTCGGTTGTCAGACAGCGCTTGTGTCATGTACTTTCTTTTGTATTTCATTCTGCTTGTGCGCTGATCATGAAGAGTCAAAGAGTACTTTCATTTCTACCGATTTTATCAGTTGAAGTTGGACACTGCGTAAACTTCGAAGACAGTGCGCGATGGCACTTCCGAGTCATAACATGTTACTTGCTTTTTTTGTGGCACACAGTACTTTTGTTGAATCTATTAGACTTGCTGAAATCAAGAGATATTCACAGACTGTGCAAACATCTTTCGCATGCTTCATGCGGCTGAAACGTATTCTGCAACAAAAGCTGACTTTGAGTGAACACTAGTAGCCGAAGGTAAACTTAGTGAATGTTTTTGTGGCATAATTTTGAAAGATTCATAAGTGCCAAGGTGAATAACGAATCAAACATATGTTAAGCGTTCAGGTACTAGCGTTAAAAGTATTCTTAAAATTTCGTCTCGAACAACGTGATGGCGTGAACCATGTGCGCACCATATCCAACTGAACAAACTTTTACCAACTTTAGTTCTTCGATTACAAAATATTGCCGCCGGGATGCCAATGATTTGATTTATAGGTTCATTCAATTAAGAAAACGGACACGCAAAGGCACTTAAAGCAACTAAACGCAACAAAACGTACTTTAGGAAGGTGGATCTGCCATACCGCGGTTGTCTATTGGCTAAGGTACTCGGCTGCTGACCCGCATTTCGTGGGATGGAATTTCGGCTAAGGTGGCTGCATTTCCAATGGAGGCGAAAGTGTTGTAGGCCCATGTGCTCAGATTTGGGTGCACGTGAAAGAACCCCAAGCGGTCGAAATTTCCGGAGCTCTCCACTACCGCATCTCTCATAATTATATCAAGGTTTTGGGACGTTAAACCCCGCAATAACTCAGAAGTGGATTTTATTACACACTCTTAGAAATATTCCGTTTGAAAAGACAGAAAAATTGTCATATTCCTTCCAGATTGTTTATCAAGTCAATAAAACGCTATGGGCTGTCCGCCTGTGTCACAAAAATTTGCAGTATGTTTTTTCATATTAACTCTGTGTATTATTTAAATGTTTTGTTATTCTTTCTTAATCCTAACTACATGTTATGACATGAATCGCCAAGACAGAACTCGTGCTATACTAATTACCAACAAACACTACGAAATTTATTCTTCTACTTATTTGGTAGCATAGACAACTTCTTTCGCATTTACCGTGCCATCATTCTTAAACTTGAACATTTGTGCTTGTTTTTCAAATCTGTCGCTTGTCTCAAAACGCTACATATACTGATCGGTGCTCACATCTAAGTTCATACAAAGCAGTGAGAAAAGGAGTCTCAAGTTCAGTGTTATTTCATTTGTGCAGTTTTCTGCGCAATACCATGTTTATATACGTAGTCAATCTTCAGCCTTGCCGCGCTGGACGGAAGAAGACGAGAAAGCTGACCAACGACTGGTGTCCCTATTATCGTTTGCCGTGTACCACCTCTTAATTTCTACTTAAACAGGTCTGGTCTGGTACCATCCCCTCTGTGCTCAAGCTGTAACGAACCTGAACATATCGACCGTTTTCTTATCACATGTCACTCTTTCAAAATTCGGAGAAAAAACTGCTTCGAAATTTTATTCAAAAAACTAGGAATATCACTTAATACTCCCAATATTTTGTCTTTTGGGGCCACTTCATTGGGACAAAGCGACAGGATCATATGCGGGGCTCTCTGCGAATTCATATATAACACGAAAAGATTACCTTGCTGTGTCAGCGATCAGCTCTCGAATTTTACTAGCCACACTACCGCTTATTATTTAGCTGATACACTGCAATGATTCAACTTTCAGGAGAATTTCCTATAACGATTCCACCTCAGATATTCAACAAATTCTATTATTTCTCTCCCCCCTCCCTTTTTTTCTTTTTTTACATTGCGCCAAATCAATTTCACAGTCAAAACACAGTAATCATATTCCCCTAGTCTAGAACATCTAAAGGTATTGACTTGCTTTAACCACCGGCTTCTTGGCCGATCCCCCTTAGTTGGTGAGAGCCACAAAAGAAAGGAACAAGCAAGCAAGCAATTATCGTTTGGAGCCAGTCAGTTGGGTGTGGGCCACAGTGCTATTCTGTCAGGGCTACATAAATTCATTCAGGCAACCGGAAGGATACGCTGCTAGTGGTACTGCCAGATATATTCAATTCTTTGTCCCCCTTCCTTATTCTTGTTATTTTTTATATATTTTGGTTTATCGCATTATTCTGCACTTTTTCACGTTTTTTTAAATGAACATTATTATTGTTTCTATATAATTTCTCTTTCTTTTTTTCGCAAGTGTTGTAAAAAAATTATCTATTATGAGGTACAGTGTGGTCAATCCCCCATGTGGGTATGACCCAAGATATCCTAGGCGACAAGACAAGACAAGACTGGTGTTTAATGTAATGCATACAAATATTTACATAAACAAATTTATTCTTAGAATAGACCAATAATCTGATTTTATACGTATATAATAATGTGGACATGTTAAGATAATGAAACTGGTTAATTAGTCAACCAATTAGTTTCATCAATGTAGTCCCGGACAGCATTACATTAAGCACCACACTTGCCTATAGGCTAGCGGTAATCTTTCTGTTATACCTCCATCATTCTAAATCTGAACAGTAAATTTTAAAGCCACTCGATTCTTGGCCAATCCCCCTCAGTGGGTATGCGCCACTAACAATGGGAGAACAACAACAACAACAACAAAGACTGGTGTGCTGCTGCCTAAAACAGAAAATCCAGCCCTCCCATTTTAAGATTTGGCCTTCTTTCTGAAATTGTATGAGCAGCTCACCGATGAAAACACCAGCAAGCGCGTGGTGATATCTGGCATGACGTTGCAGCCTCCGCGAACGCGCCGAGCCTCCAGGTTACGGAGCTTTGATCCTGCCACATGCAAGGATGAGCTACATTGCCACTACGGTAGTTTTTCTCAGCGTCTTTGCTCACCCGTCTAGCTGTTTTTCAGGTAAGTCCAGCACCCATTTCCGCAGAAGTGTTTCGGCATCAGCCCCTTGTTCATCACGATTACTAAGCGAAGCCCGGCTCTAAACACTTAGTCTGCAAGATGTTTGCGAAACATACCGAAATAGCCTAATGAAAGTGAGCTCCTTTTATGAAATATGAATATAAAAACTTTCTGAGTACAGTAATTCTACCATTACAGTAAGGTAGGCCTCTCGTATTGGTGACGTTTGTCGCGTCTATTGTGAACTAGTACTTGTGTCTATCCTCTAAAGCTACCTAGAAACATGCAATCACTGCCCTGCACGCTTTTATTCACAGGAGACAGAGTGAAGCTGACCGACGTGCAGACTCTCACCTTGCGGCAAGGACAGTACACAACTGGACGTCGGTCGCACCCGGTGCCACAGCTTAACTGCCGTGGTGGCAGCGCGGGTTGCCAAGACCAGCCTTCAGTCGTGCAATGCTACAACCGGGGCACTGATGGCAGAGACGTACAGGTGATGTGTCGATACAGACGGGCAGTTCAGTGCCACGCATGCGGCTTGATCACGCCTAGGTCTTGTATAGTCGTGTGCAATTGATATATCAGATCTATTCGATTAAAAACATGGTAGCATATCCACGGAGTGAATGATGGAGAGTGGGGCGAAGCATCCGTCCGTCCATTCGTTCTTGCTTCCGTCCGTCAATGCGTGCGTCTGTGTGGCCGCCTGTACGTCCATCCGCCCGTCCGTGCGTGCGTCTCTTCATGCGTCCGCACGTCCATCTGTGCGTCTATCCCTGCGTTCGCCCATGCATCCGCTCCTGCGTCCGTCCATGCGTCCATCCGTGCATCTGTCTGTGTGTCCGTTCGTCCACCTATTCAACACTCCAAGTACCACCATCTCGCATCTGTTCATCATATATTACTCATATAGAAACACCGCCATCCAGCGCACATTCCAAGAACTGAACGAGAGGAGGTTCGCGCACACTTTCTTACGTCTTGCGCTTCGTGTCTACTTCCCACCTTTAACCACCTCGAGTTCATGGTATATACTAGTTCACCCTATTAATAGCACTGCGGCGCAATGCTTGCTAACCCTTTCTAAAACCAAAGAGGTTACGCCCAGCGAGTATAACGTAGCAACCTTTTCTTCTCAGATAGTGCTCAAGGTACGTGCCAATGGTTGCTCAGGGGGAACGAGAGACAGGAGAATTCAGCTTTTAGTTAACGCGCACGCTGCGAATTTTTTATTGTTCAGCAACGCACATAAGAAATCTCCCACCAGCATCACCTTGGAGGTCAAAATATAAGACTGGTTACACATTACGACTACTACTACTACTACGAGGGACGATCGGGTGCTGCTTTAAGGAGCTTCGCCCCTAAAGAACTGCTCGGCACCGCATACAAAAAGGTTCAGCCAGTGCCGACACCTGGTGTAGCAGGCGTAGTAGGTGTTTCGTCACCCATTTCGGGATGCGGATGCAGCGCATCAGCAGTGCCCCCCCCCCATTAGTGGCAATCGCATGTTGAGGTGCAAGCAGAGGAAACCTGTCGTCTGCTGCTTAGGCTACGTAATTGTCGTGTGTATTGCTTTCAGGCGCTTCGCCCCTAAAGAACTGCTTCGGCACCTTAAACAAAGGTGCAGCCAGTGCCAGACACCTGGTGCAGCAGGCGTAGTAGGTGTTCCGGCACCCATTTCGGGATGCGGATGCAACGCATCAGCAGCGCCCCCCCCCCTCCTTGTGGCAATCGCATGTTGAGGTGCAAGCAGAGGAAACCTGTCGTCTGCTGCTTGGCTACGTAAATTGTCGTGTGTATTGCTTTAAGGAGCTTCGCCCCTAAAGAACTGCTCGGCACCGCATACAAAAAAGTGCAGCCAATGCGGACAGCTGGTGCAGCAGGCGTAGTAGGTATTCGGCACCCATTTCGGGATGCGAATGCAACGCATCAGCAACGCCCCCACTTAGTGTCAATCGTAATGTTGAGGTGCAAGCAGAGGAAACCTGTTGTCTGCTGCTTGGCTACTTAAGTCGTTGTGTATATTGTGCGCCCACGGATTTGCAGCTCCTGATTTGTCAGAATAAAGAATTCCGCCATGCTGTGGAAATAGCTGAATTGACAGCGAAGACGAGGAACTGGAGGCAGTGTTGGCCAAATCGGCCCTCAACTGATGTGCAAAGATGGTAACCACACACCTAGGTAATACGAGGAAGTTGTGGCCCGTTATAGTGACTGCGAATTCAAGCACCTTTCTTCTATTTTCTTCCATTTCTTTCTATTTTCTTCTATTTATTATTAAGGAATCTCGTCTTTCTTTTGCTCCACAGCACTTTGTCAGGGTCGTCGCGACGTGCAGGACTTTTATGAGCGCTTTGACGAAGCACGGTAGCTGAGGCAGTGGCTGCTTGGGTCGTCGGCATCGTGTGGTCTTGTGGCGTTGTAGGCGTAGCACGCTCGTTTGTCGAGTCAGTGGGGGCAAGTGAGCCCGACGCGCATACAACCCTGCAATGTTCTCCCATCTGAAAATTTGAAAAAAACAGGATAACGAAGAAATGTTTCCGTCGTGCACCTGACGGGTCTTCTCAAAAACTCTATCACATCTGCATAATTACCTGCGGTAGCGTAGAGTTCGGCATCACCGCCTAGGAGTAGCACGCCAAAATCGTCCACAATTAGAAAACTTTCCGTTGCTACACCGTGAATGTCTACGACCAGAGGCGTGTCTCAAAGTGCTGTCTGATTGTGCGTGAAAGGAATGTGCGAGACGAAAAAAGTGCTTAACAGCGCAAACGACAGGAGCGGATAGAAGAGACAAGAACAGAGTGCATGTGTCTCTTCTATACCCTCCTGTCATTGGCGCTGTTAAGCACTTTCTTCGTCTACCATGCAGTACCAACCAGCCAATTCAAGCACCTTGTTAAAGGCGAATGTGCGAGGTGGCGCCAAAATGCTTTTCCCTCGCGCTAGAAGGTGCAAGGGTTCGTGGCACCATGGCTACACCTACCCTGTACAGTAAAGGACGGTGGTGCGGGGGGCACCGCTGTCCATTTGAGAATCGAGGAGCGAGGTGCAGCGCACCTTTAAAAGGTGCAGAAGGTGCAGAGAACTTAGCGCGAATTCAATAGACCTATTGTCCATTAGGTCACGTGGCTCCACACTTACGCGTGCGACAATATAAAACGGTTCCGGGACGCCAAAGCCTCACATCCACTCTACGAATAACGTGGGCAGGAGGTTATTAGAGCAACCATCCTTGAATAACGGCTGCACACACTTTTCTTGTACACGTAATATAGTCATGAGTTCACGAACCTGAGCTTACCCCGCGTGCTTTCACTTCAGCACGGCTAATGCAAGGACTTCAGAGGGCACCATCTGTAGTGAGACAGCATATCATTAACTATAAGGTTGTCCTTCACTGGCCTTTGAACCTTCCTTGCATTACGTACTCTACAAACCCTGTACAACATGTTTTAAAAGACCACGTGCTGCTTTGTACATGTGCACCTGTAAATTGAAACTTTCGCGATGTAAATTTAGACGGGGTGAAAGGAAATAAGCAAGTGCCGTGGGCGTGCGCTGTTGGCTGTTCATTATGGAAGCCAAAACAAATATTTAGGAAAAATGAAATTGGGCACGCACCCACGTCATCACAAATGCTTGGCCTAAATGTACTGGGTCTTATAGATGCATAATGGCACACCTTGACAGTCTGCAACGTTGACCATCTGTCTATCTGTCTGCAAGTATACTTGCACGGCGGTCAGCCTGTGAAACTCTTTCCTATGTTTTTTACACTTTTTTGTGAACTTCGGCGACCTTCAGGGTATCTATCTATCTATCTATCTATCTATCTATCTGTCTATGTAGCCACCTACGATTTTCAGATCTCCTGGCCGTTTCGATAACGGTATCGATGCCAAACTTGGTATATAAGATGACTGTACGACGAAGATAACTGACTAGTCATGACATCAAAAATCATGACATGCATGTCATAAACATCATGATTACTTGTCATGGGTCTTGCTGTCTTGCGGCGGTCTCATTCACATCATATGTTGCAAAGGTATGGTATGGTATGACTGGATGACGAACACAAGCGAGAGACCCTTACATCAAAATTATGACATGCGTGTCATATAACACCATGACAGATGCCACACTCATGATGTTGCTCGTGGCTGTTCGCTAGCTTTCATATACCTAATTCGGTATGGCGCGACGTGAATGGATGAAGAAGGTATGTGACTGGTGCAAACGTGATAATCATGAGATGCGTGTCATGCAAACAACATGACTATATGTCATGCTCATGAGGCGCTCGCAGCCGTTTCGCTAGCTTCACATCTACCGAATTCAGTATTACGTGAGGCAAACGGACGACTTAGGTAAATGACACGTCCAAGCATGATGATCATCACAGTGTCATGTAGCAACATGTCCACGTCCCACACTCATGATGCACTCGCGGCCGTTTCGCTACCTTCACATATGACAATATTTGGAATTACGTCACGTGAGTGGATAACGAAGGTATGTGACTAGCTTAAATATGATAACCATAAAATGCGTGTCATGTAAGAACAATAATACATGCCACACTGAAAGCGCCAATACACTTCGACGTGAGCCGGCACGCGTGCGTGCCGGCGTTTGTTGCGTCACGCCGGCAATGCCACGGTGAGTGCCAACATCCTTTTAGTAGAAATTATTGGATCTACCCACTGACCTTCATTGTGGATCTGCATACCATACACTCGCATACGCACACCGCGCTGCGTTGCTTTGACGCTTGCACATTTGAGCGCACCGGTGTCCCTCCGTCTTGAAGAGAGGCAGACGCGGTGCTAGTAACGTCGTCGGCGCAAAAGGCAGCATGTCGCATTTCACGCCGGTTGTCACCGGGCCGTGCCGGACAGACGTTGATCGCGCTAGTCCCGCCTGGCTTCTCGTTATAATGTGCTCACATTTTGCTAGCGTGGCGTTGCTGCGCCCAGCCAGCGCATGCGTCAACTTTGCGTCAGAGTATATTGTGCCCTTCATGACGCACTCGCTGCCGTTGCGCCAGCTCCATATGTACCGAATTCGGTATCACTGAGAGTGAATAGACGATGAAGGTAAATGACCCGTCCAAACTTGATAATCAAATTATGCGTTTCATGTAAAGCATGACTACATGCTACACTCCTAGCGTTTTCGAGGCCGTTTCACTAGTTCCACTTATACCAAAGTTGGTATCACGTGACGGGAATGGACGATGAATGTAAATGACACTCTAAATATGATAATCATAATATGCATTACATGTAAAGCATGACTACATGCTGCGCTCATAGCAAGGTCACAGCCGTTTCGCTAGCTCTACATATGCCAAAGTTGGTATCAGGTTACGTTAATAGATGACGAAGGTAGATGAAACGTCCAAACATGATAATCATAACATGGAAGTCATGTACGGAATAATTTGCTTCCGCCTTTTAATTTTGCTGTGATTTTAAAGTAAGCTATCACCCTTCCTCAATCGTGCTTCGCATATCATCGATTTACCATGTACGTGGGACCTGCCAAAGTTTTTCTCCGCAAGTATTTGTGACAATATTGTTATAGGCTTATGTACTTGAAGAGTGCTTTTCTATTGGCAACTACAACATTGCATCACGATAGAGGCATTGCTCATTTGAAAAATGAGTGGTATATGTGCTCCTCTGCATTGATAAACAGAGCATTAAAGAAACTTTGATAAGCTTGAGAGATTACGATTCATAAAAAAAATCTATCAAAACACATCCAAAAAGCAAGGATCAGTGATTTCTATAATTTGACACATTGGCTTAATTTTTCGCGTCTAGATGATCATTTTCTCCTCCTTTCCATTTACAGTGGGAGTGCAAGGCGGAGATGAAAAGGTCTCAAAATTTAGCTTGCTTCAAGTAATCCTGCGAAGGATACGATTATCCGCAAGACGAATACATCCTGGTTGGATCTTGTGGCGTGAGTGTGTGCTCTTAATGCCTTCACGTATGTCGAATCTATCTTTTTTATCTTCTATGTTAAAACAGCAAATGTTTTACTCTATGCACAGAATAAGTACAAACTCAGATATCAGGGTGCAGATGACTGTGTCATCCGTCTGTTGACTCTTTTTTGTAACAAAGGGGTGACATGCTAGTCCTAAAAAGTTTGCCAGGAATGTAGTAGGTGTAAATAGAATACCAACGAATATTTAGTTCGATTATTATTGTTCGTCCTGGTAGTTCACTCAATGGACCGATTTGTTCAAGCCAGTAACTTTAGAAGTATGCTCTTGATATTTCAAACTACTTTTGACTACGAAACAAAAAAGATTGCAGAACAAAACGAACGGGAAAGAAGACTAATGAAAGTTAAAAAAGCTCAAGCGTAGAAGGTAAAGAATGTTCTCTGAGATTTCAACGTAATATGCAGTAAATAAATTGTTCGCCTAATAACGAAGGAATTACGTACTCTTGTTAAAGTAATTGCAATGTAAATAACACTGCATGCCAGTGCACACAACAGTGGACAGAATCGAGGGCACAGAATGCTCAACTTCTATCAATCAATACCTCTTGAATGCTATCGTAGTTTATACAGCTGTAAACTGTTCCGGCATGCATGTGCAGAGCATTATATTGCTGCAAGGATTCGCACAATTAGTGCCTAAGAGTTCTCACTATATTACTGTGTTCAGCGAATGGCTCTCTCTAACAGCACAGCTGTGTAAAAGAAGCCTGCTTTCCAGTGTAATCGCTTGTTGCAAGTGGACCACTCGGTGTCCTCCTTTATATCCAGTGTTGTCGTTTTCGCTGGTATCTACTCTTAGGCCCGTATTCCCAAACGAACATCAGCCTTACGTCACGTTTTGATCAGCTCCCTGTACTCTCTACATAGGTTATACACGCAGAAAAATAGGAACATGATAAAACACAAAATGACTGGTCATGAATAGTGGCCAAGTTTGCTCATCATTCGCAATTAAGGTTTAAAACCACAAGGGAAACTCAAAGAAAGGTTGACGTTGGTTTGCTAATATGAGTTTTAATGACGTTATTATCACCTGCCTAATATTTTGAAATTGCAAAGTAATGTGAATTATTTTAAATAAAACGTTTTCAATGTAATATAGCTTTCGGTCAACTGTAAGTTGTACTTTTCATTATAGTTGTCAATGAACCAACCAATCAATCCTATCTATCTATCTATCTATCTATCTATCTATCTATCTATCTATCTATCTATCTATCTATCTATCTATCTATCTATCTGTCTGTCTGTCTGTCTGTCTGTCTGTCTGTCTATCTATCTATCTATCTATCTATCTATCTATCTATCTATCTATCTATCTACTATCTATCTATCTATCTATCTATATATCTATCTTTTATCTATCAATCTATCCTATCTATCTATCTGTATATTGCTTGGAATAGATAAATAAACAATTGTTATGTCTCAAAACACTTATATGTTTCTTGCGACAGACAGGCAGAACGACAGACGGACATAGATAGATGTAGGCTTCGTTGTCGCGGCCTCTATATAAGCAGATGGTGGTCCTACACGTATTGAGCTACCACTTGTGGATTGACACCTAACCACTTCTCGAATTTTATTTGCCTCTGCCCTTTGCTAATATTTCTGCATTGGTTGGTTGACCTGATTGAGGGAACTGCTGTACGTTCACATTTCTTTATATGACGATATTGGGTATTCATTCGATAGTGTAAATAAAACCCTTCTTTTTTGTTGTACAACAGCTAGAGTACTATCTGGAAAAGACTTCATATGGCGGTCGCTCATCGAACGGCGCGTAAGTCAGGTATTTTTACTCTCAATTGTTTGTAGTTTCTGTTGTTTTTTGTTCACAAAGCAACACGTTTTCTTAAACAGTCGGGACAAGAGCTGGGCGTTTATTTCAATAGGAAGTTAAAAAGCTTTACTTCAAGCGAGAAAAAAATGAATGACGCTTGAGATATAGTACATTGTGATAGCCTATACTTGCCCTGCTCCCATTGTCTTCTCAATCACTAGGATAGCTTCGTTTCTTGGTGGACATCAACCATGTCACACGAAAAGGAATCTATGTAGGCGCAATAAGGGTCGCGTTAAACTTTCCCAGAATGCGTATTTTACAGACTATGCCAGGCACGCCATAGTCATCATGCTTCAGGTCCCCAAAATACCAACTACGCACCCAGGAGGCAAACGCAGATCTGCACACGTAAACACTTGGTCTATGATGTTGCTGCTGCTGCTAATATTACATTATTCTTGTCGGCTCTTTAGGAGCTTGCCTCTAAAGCTCTCGCCTTGTCTAGCGGCTGCCAGCATGTGCACCAGTATTGCCTGTGCACACACTGCTTCAGTTGCCACTCGATTTCACCGCTTCGGTCCCCTCTCTGGTGATTCTAACAATACTCAATAGATGGTGCGCCACCACCCGAAGGTCGGAAAGAGGCTCAAGTCCGCCGAAGAGGCGCTAGCGAAGGTGAACAAAAAAACGGCTGATGGAGAGAACGGTAGGGCTCCTGCAACAAGACTGGCGGAAAAGATAGAGCAAGCAAGCTCGGAAAAAACAGGTTCAGCCGGTTTAATGGTCGCAAGATCCAGCTTCAGCGAAGTAGTGGTGTGGCTGGTAGGGGACAAAGCAGCCGGCATCACATATGAAACTAACAACCAGGTGCAGGACGCTCCAGCTGAAAAGTCACGTCACGCGATAGTCGCCGGGGCTTTGAATTTAAGTCGATGCGCAGAAGAAATCACAGAGGGTAAGAGGTGAAGAGAGGGTTGCAGTAGGGACGTTCCCCGGACGCAAGATGGAAACAGTAATGAGGCAAGCGAGCGCAAAACTCAAAACTACAGCTCATGAATGAAACTTCGTGATAATTGCAGGTGGTTGAAACGATGTCCTAAATGAAGATACGGCAGGACTAGCAACCTTATTGGCGAAAGGGGTTGATGACATGCGCGCCATTTATCCTCATATACAGGTAGCAATATGCACAATACCACGGGGCGGCAACCTGCAAAGAGCGGTGGTCAACGCAAACCAAAATATCTGGCGGATAAGTCGAGAGAAAGGCTTTGAGGTAATGGAAATAAACGGAGAGGTGCATAAGTAGGGTGGTTTTCAATGAGACGTAATTGCTTGGATAGGAGGCTTGTTCGCGCAGTACCTTTTTGGGGGCACGTGGGCCTTTCGGGGTGCAGGATAGCAATTAACGAGGAAAACAACGAGGGGGACCCTTTGACAGGTGGTATAGACAGGTACGATTCCAAATTGGCACCAATATCTAAGACACGTAGAGTCCGGAGCAGAAATCAGCGTAGCAACGAGGGCCGAGCCAATTCAGACATAGGGTATATTAATATGCAGGGTGGCAAGAATATCTGAAGTGGGAAGAGATAAAAGAACAGCTAAGAGAGTAGAGGCCAATGATGTATGCTTTTGTAGTAACACATCTCAAGAACATGGAACAATCCCTACAATCCGGACTATGCGTGGTAATATTGTAATAGAACAGAAGACAGCAGAAAGGGGGTGGTATTGGCGCCTTCACTCATAAATGTACAGATTGGCAAGAGATGAAGCCGGAGTGCAAGGAAAATTTATGGCTAAAAGTAAAAGTGGCAGTGCAAATGATGCTACTACGTTTGTATACTTTTGGACAGGGGCAAAAGCCAGAGAAAAAAATCTAGAACTGGTGCAGTGCATAGGAAATGACATTGACGATCTTGGAGAAGAGTGCAATTTTAGGAGATATGAATGTGCACATAAAAGATATGGATGAATATATTGACCCACCAGACAGACTCTTGATGTATATGTGTGAAAGGCATGATTCAATAATTGCCAACAGCACCGAGAAATGCCAAGGGCAGATAACGTGGGAGTTGGAGAGGCTGCAGTCGGCGATAGATTACGCAATAATGTCACATAGGATGTATGATCGACTAAGGGTGATGAACATAGGTTATTATGAGTCCAGAAGCTTACTTAGTGATCACAAACGTATCAAGCTGAGTTTTGGAAGAAAATGAAATTGGAAAGCTGGCATTGCGAGCAGCTACATGATAATATTTATTCAGAAAGCAAATAGAAATAGCAAATAAAGAGCTTGAGAAAATAATCACCGAGGATAGTAAAACAGAGTTGACGAACGCAACTATAACTCTATTGTTTGAGTCGGAGCTTGCGAAGGTACGAGTCAAATCAACCAGGAAAAGCAGACACAAACCCAGGGGCTGGCGAGGTGATGAAGTTAAATGAGCCATAGTAAGACGTAAGGCAGCCTCCAAGGAATGCAGGAATGCTAAAAGAGAGTTGAACCAGAAGATGATGTCAAAAAAATGGGACAACTTTTTCAGCTGCAGAAGGAAACCGTTCAGTTTGATCAATGAAAAGAGTAGAAAGAAGGTGGGCCCAATAAATGGCGGACGTAAACAAAAAGTGTATCAAGGCAGCTGCAAAGTTTTAGAACCATCTTAATTCTCTGAATAATAAGAGGAGCATGATACAGTGGTTTATGACTACAGCTCAAGGAGTTAGACTAGACGGGGTTCATGCTATGGATTGTATAAAAACAATGATGACAGGAAGATTTATACATCATGGAAGAGCTGTAATCACCGTACCAGATGAGGATGGACCAATTAGCTCAGTGGCTGCACTGAGACAACGTGAGTGGGAAAGAGCAGGGAAAAGAGTACATCTAGAGGTCCTCACCGCCTCCAAGTCATGCTAATAAAGAAACTAGGACCAAACTCTAAGCGAACATTAGGAGAGGCAGTGAGCAAAGCAACAATGAATGGTAATGCTCCTAATGGGTGGAAACTAAGCAGGATGAGCATGATCTATAAAGGAAAGGGGGAGAAAGCCGATATAAACAACTACCGCGTTATAACAGTGACATCAGTAGTTTACGGGTTGGTGATGCAGATATAAAGGAAAGACTACAGACATAGGTGAAGAATGACGGGGTGCTGGGAGAACTACAAAATGGGTTCCTTAAACGAAGGAGGTTAGAGGACAATTTGTTTTCGTTGATGCAGTGTATTGAAATAGCGGGAAAAAACACAGGTTCCTGTGTCTGGCATTTCTATATATTGATACGTGTATGGAACTGTTGCCCCAACACCTCTGAATTGGCACCCAAATGAAAAAGACGACAACGTGGTTGTTGTGGGTTGGACTCTCGTGTTTCTCCCGTTGGCCTGGATGACTGTGCGCTTTTTAAGCCGTTAGCAAGACCAGCTCTCGGTGAATAAATCTTCCCCGTAACAATATTAAGGGAGCTTACGATAGTGTGATTCAAGAAGACTTGTAAGTAATACTGGACACACTAGATGTGGAAGATAGAATAACTAATCTTCCAAGGGATATCTACAAAAGTAACAAGGTAGTTATGAAATAGGAAGAATATGTATCTGAACCTACACAGATACAACGCGGGCTTCGACAGGGATGTTCCTTGTCACCTTTATTATTTATGCTATATCTCCATAGACTAGAAGCCAAATTAGAGGAGAGTCTCCTCGGATTCAGCCTCTCTTTTGCCAAGCAAGAAAAACACATTGAACAGGCATTACTAGCATTGATCTATGCAGATAATTTAGTATTATAGCTGTTAACAAGAAAAATATGCAGGGATCGGTAGACATCTGTGGTAATGAAGGAAATTGGTTAAATTTGAAGTTCAGCAGGAAAAAAACTGGCAATCATGGTTTTTATTATAACAAAGGCAGTGAGCTAAGATACAGGAAGTATCCCAGCTCGGCCTCTCCTCTCTTTCTTCTTGCCGCAAGACTGCTCGTCTAATGTTAATATTTAGGTTTTTACATTCGCTGCCTCCAGGAAACCAAATCATCATTCCTGCACATCGCTCTTCTCGCCACTGACACCAAAATGCTGTATATCTACCACGTGCACATACGGCCACCTACCAACGTTCATTTTCCCTGCATACTGCCACAGAATGAATTGCCCTTCCATCCGATATCGCCCTCATCACCTCAATTCAAAGCTGCCATTGAAGACCATCTTTCAAATCATGAAACCTAACCTGACCCACCAGTTTTTTTGTTCGCCCACCCCTCATGTAATGTTCCTGAAGGGACCTTTGAGGTATTATGAATAAATTAATAAATAAATAAAGTAACGCTTGAAATATTGGAAATAAAGTAACGCTTGAAATAACGGGGCTGAGTATCTAAGAGAGCACGAAAGATACGTAATGACTAGGGGCACCAGGAATGCAGCTGTAAAGAAAATTAGGGCACTGTGGAACTACAATATATAGATATGACGTTATGGGAGGGATTTCGAAAGGTGTCATGGGCCCGGGCTCGACGTTCTGAAATGCGGTATTGTGCATGAAATCAGAAGTTCAAGCAAGATTGGAAATTAAACAACGTGGCATAGGTAAACTTACTTTAGGAGCACACGGGAATACCGCAAATTAGGGGTACAAAGAGACATGGGATGCACATCGTTTCAGTGTAGGGAAGCTAGCAACAAGATAGAATTTGAGGAGTGATCGAGAAAAAGGGGAGAGGAGCGTTGGGCTAGGAAAGTTTCCAGTTACTTCTACATGGAGAGTGCCGATACTAAATGGAGAAAATGAACTCGAGAATCGTCAAGCAAGTATTTAAACAACAGCAGAATACAAAGCCAAAAGGAAACATTTGTTGAGAACAAGGTAAAGGAAACAGAGAGGGACATGTGTAAGATGGGAATGCTTACGAAATCATCACAGGAAACCTGCCGAACGTTTAAGCAGGAAATTACAAGAAAAAGATCTACGATAATTT